GCTTTGTCCCCAGCGTGTCCTCCTCAACTCTGGCATACTTTCCTATTCTGGCCATCAGCTCCTCCACGCTTTTTGGTAATGTCTTTGCCAGTGATTTTCGAAGTAGGCAGTCATTCTTCAAGCCGTTTTTAAATGACACGACCGCCACCTCTTGGTTGCATCCTGGGATTCGGTTGAATACCTCATAATACCTTTTGGCATAGGCCCTAAGGCTTTCATCCTCGCCGATCTTCAGGGCCATTAGGGCGTCCACCCTCAATGGCTGTAGCTTGTTTGTCACGAACCTAGCCACAAACATCTCGGCCAGGCCTTCCCAGGTTTTCATAGTTCCTTTCGGCAACTTGTGAAACCAGTCCGATGCAATTTCTCCGAAGGATGAGGGGAACACCTTGCAGAGCAACGACTCGTTCCCGGTGTACAACGCCATCGAGTTCAGGTACAAGTCGACGTAAAAGTTGGGGTCTGACTTACTATCGTAGATCTGGAATCTTGGCATGCTAAACCTCTTCGGAGCTTCGAATTTGTCCAATTCTACCGAGAACGGCGTTCTCGGCTTGACCGGGGAGGTTACCACGACATCTTGTTGTTTCCTCTGTAGGTGATCCCCCAGATCCTCTTTGGTCCGTCTAGGAGCTCGGCTATCTCCTGACTTCAGCCTTTTCGGTGCACTACTCCCAGTTTCATTATGGGTCCTTTTGGACTTCCCTCCATTGGTTGCGTCGAAGCACAACTCTTGCCCTTGAACATGCCGGTGTTCTTTGGGGTCGGCTTCCTAAGTGCGATGCGTCCTCCTTGATTCTACCCTTCTTGACTCTCCTCGCCTGACCTCCCTTGAAGGCCGGTGACAGTGTTTTTCGATCCTGGTGTGCTGGGGGACTGTAGGGACTGTTTTCTGCCCCCTCTTCTCGGGCATCCTCCTTTGCCGCTGAAATCGGCGTATCCTGTAGTGGGAACGGTGGCTGCATGACGTTATTCTGCATCATGAAATTGACCATTGTTTGTAGGTCCGCCAATTTGTTCACCATAGCCTTTACCTCATCGTCCCTCCGTAGACATCTTTCTTTCATACCTGGAGGTCGTCCTCGTTGTAATACCCGCTTCGGTCCGTTTTCTTTGGTACGTCACTCTCCTGGCCGACGTCCTTTCCTTCGTGATTCCTATCGTGAGTCTCTTTGTTGTAGTTGTCTTCTTCGACATCAAGGTCTACAGGTTTCCCACTCCCAGTAGGAGTGTTGTCCCCAACCTTCACTTTCTGACCGTCGTTGGCCATCTATTCTTTTTTTTTTTCCCATAGACGGCGCCAAATTGTGTGTGTCAATTTCCGACCACACTGCCAATCAGACACTCAACTGGAGAACACTGGCAGAATAGATTAAGCTCGAACGACCTGCAACAGAAAGAAGAGATTCTGGCGGTGGTTCATCCACCCAGGGGCACTCCGAAGATCAAGTCAGTAAAATATCTCTCAAAGATAATCAATAGTGCTTAACTCACTAGACAAAGCATAAAAGACATACCTTAGACCCATGGGGGTGCCTCACTTTTATAGCCAACACAATCCTAGTCCTAATAGAAGCCTAGCCCTAATGGACATAGGATTACTGCTAATCTTGGACTCCCAGTAGGATTAGTATAAATTCTCTCAGAGTCTTATCCTTACCTAAACTGAAGTCTTCTCCCATTTTAGGACTCTTGTCCCTTATCTGCTTATCCCGGATTCTGGTATCTTCGTAGATAACCTCGGCCTAGTCGAGATGATCTCGACGTCATGACCAGGACACGTGGCACCTTGATTGGCACTTCGGTGACACCTTGGCCACGTGTTGTCATTCAAAAATTATGTCCCCACATCATGATAGGAGTTCAATCGCGTGTATATTGTTTATAATTATGATTGGTTATTTTATTTGTCAAAAACCATGTTGAAATGTTATTCCATGTTTGATTTTGAAATTTATTTGAGAAAATCAGTTTATGTTCATGAACACATGTAAGAACTATGAAGTTAGAATTAGAGAATGATTTTGTGATTAAAAACTCTAAAGGGTGTTATGTTCATGACATTTGATGAATATTAATATATAATTGTCATCTTTGTTTATTTTTTGTGGAAAGGAAAATATGAGATTTGAGCTTTTGAACTTGAAACTTTAAAAAGTGTACTCTTGGGTATATTTTCAGATTTTTTATGTAAATATCATGTTGATTAATTAATTTTGAAAAAGTTGTGAAATTGTTATTTGTAGAGAATTTGGAAAAGAAAATTAACTATTTAAGTAGCTTGGTATGACATATCGTTATGTTTGAAGGATGAGACATGTTAAGTTATGTTTGGTATTAATTCTTTTGGAAAAATGTGAATAAAATAAACTTACTAATTTAGTAGATGAAATTAGTTTGGTTCAAAGTTTATATCATTTATGATTAAAAGTGTTATTGAGATTATACTATAGCTTTTAATATAGTAGGATGGAAATGGTAATATTCAATAAGTATGAGATTTGGTGAAAATCATATTGGTTATTTTGGTTGAGGTGGAACAAAGTTGATTGAAAGTTGTGTGAGTCAAAACAATTGGGAAACTGATTATTAGTTTTACTAGTTGGAGTATGCTAATATGTTATTTTTGTACCTCAAATTCATATATGAGATACTTGATTTGTAGATTGAGGGTTTGGTTGATTACTTATAATCTTGCTATTAAATGTATTTTCTGTATATAAAATTGCATGTGGGTATTTGAAAGTGAGAAAGCCCCAATTTGTGAAAGATCCTAAATGTTATTGTTTTGGAAGTTGTTGGATTATTGGGAAAAGATTATGTTTGGTTTTAAAATTGTGGATTTGATTGGAAAACACTTATGAAGCTTTTGGAATATCGAGTATTGGTTACTCCTTTGAAATGTTGAGTTTGATGGAAAAGTATATTAGTCTTGAGAATTTGTCTTTAAAATGTAGAATATGGATTGTTTCCAAGTGTTAGGAATCATGGGGAATTCCAAGTTATGGTTGTATGTTGAATTGTATATCCATGTTGTTATCTTTTAATTACTGCATTAGAAATAACTTATTTTGGCTATCAGTGGAGGATAGTATTGTTTGTTGTAGAAATTGCATGAGGATTAGGTGAATGGAAACTAATTTCTCATACACATTGCATGGAATATTGTTGCATACTTAATCATTGGAAATGAATTGCTTTGAGAAAAATGGGTGAATACTAATCTGGGTAAGAGATGTGGTTACTTCAAATTAAGTTGGCATGTGTGTCCATAGTGAAAGTCCTAAAAATCGTGCGTATACATGGATGCCGATCCCACGGACAAATTTTCCGTGAAATGGCAATAGTATTGCTTGTATAACCTATGTTTACATGAATGCTGATTACGGGGACAATTTTTGTGAAATGGCAATAGTAGCGCTTGTATAGCCTATGTTTACATGGATGCCGGTTTATGGTTTCGTACGGAACGAATTTTTCGTGAAATGTTATGCTTGATAGAGATTCCCAGTGTGTGTATTTACCGCCTGTTTTTTGCTTTGAAGAAAAGACATTCATATAACTCGTATTATAAACTTTGGCATCACATTCGTTTTGAAAAGGATACCTTGTTGACATTGAAGCATTTTAATTTATTTAAGTTAACTAATTATGGCTAGGTAATTAAATTTGGATTTAAGGAATTAGGTAATAAAATCAAGAGGTTATGGCATAATATGACTTTATATATTTGTATGGTATCACTGTATCACTGGACCCGCATATGTTTTAATGTTATAATATCAGATTGTTTGGTGAGCTAGTGGTTTGCTCACGCCCTACTTGTACATGTGTACAGGGAACGTTTTCGGGCTTGAGGATGAAACAATAGGTTTTACCTTGACATGGTTATAAAGTGGTGATGAGCCGTAGTGTTTTTTAATTATTTCTTTGGCCGAGTTCTATGCTTTGTAAAAGGGCAACGTCCTCTTATTTATTGTAAGCCTTTGGAAATTTTTGTTTGTAAAATAATATATTATATTCAATGTAATACACGGAGAGTGGGTTTATGGTTTCGTTCATGGTATATTTTTTTTTTGAACTTGTAAAAAGTAAAGAAAATGGTTAATGAAAAAGATTTTTTTTTTTATATAATTAATTGAGTGAGAATAAAGGTATTTTTCTAAAACCTCACGCTTGGGTTATTTAATTTTCGCCTAATTGATCTTTGAAAATCGAGACGTTATATAGTGCAACATCAAGAGAGCATGCAAGTTCTACGTAAACTAAATTTGGTTGATTTTCTTGATGTGGAGGAATTTAATTCTTGGTGTGGAGCAATTTAATTTGATTTTCAATGCTGTCTAATTGATTTTGTTAGCCAGTTGAAGCATACATAGAATAACTTTCAAAAAGTAGACTTCTCTGCATATAATTTTTGGAAGTGGGACAAGCAACTGAAGTATTCCAAGTGTCTTTTTATTTGGCATGGGCGATGGCAGATCTCTAATATGAACTCGAGAATGAATTCTTTCAAAGAAGAGGAGCATGATGTGGACAAGATTTTAAGAATTTTTATATTTTTAGTTTTAATATTTTTGATATATTATTTTATTAAGATTCTTGTAATTTAGTAAAATTATTTTAGAATTATTAGGTTTGTTAATTTGTTTTGATTTTGTTTTTCTAATTTCCGAGGTTTCTTGTTTTTCAAGAATTAGATTAGTTTATTGTTTCTTAATTTGAGTTTTCTTGGTGTCTAAGAATACTTGGTCTCCAAGGTATACATTATTATAAATAGCTATGTATGCTTCATGGCAAATGAAACTTTTATTCAACTTTTATTCAATAATATTAAGATATCGTCTCTTCCTTGTGGATTCAAAGTTCTATTTTTCTTGTGAATTCAAGAGCCCCTTTCATCTACTAAAATGATATCTAGTCACTGTGTATTCCGCTATGTCACGGTCCCTTTCTCTATTACACAAAACAACATTCAAACTTCTCACACAAAGATTGTTCTTCACTAGACCTCGCAGAGAAACACCTCACCGCAGATAGTACAAAGGACATTGCCACGGCCACAACCACGTCCACTGACGCAAATCACCATTGCCATAACCACAAATCATAGGTTTCCCCCCTCTCTCTCTCTCTCGCTTGCTCGCTTCCTCTGTTTTCCCCCTTTTCTGATTGTGGCTTTAGGTTTTTATATGCTTGATTCAGTTGAATTTGGTGTTCATTTCTGAAATGGGTTTGGTTGTTGTAGATTGATTTCTAAACTAGTATGGGTTTGATGTCCTGAATATGGTTTGCTTTTACTAGTTTCATACATTTCCCTCTCTTTTTCCTTTCTCTTTCATTAGTTTGACTATGAGTTTGTTGCTGATATGTACATTTTCAAAGTGTATCTATAATTTTGTTTTGAAAGTGCTCTATGTTTAAGAGGGATAGAATAGATGTATTTTTCTGATTTCTAAAATGAGAACCATAACTGGGGTTAAATTACAAATACACCTTTGCAAATATATTGTAGAGAAAGTAAATTTATCACAGATACATATGTAAATTGTACTTATGTTAAAAAATTTCTACTGAAAATAAAAATTTATCAGAAATGAGTGATGAATAAAAATTAAGAAGATCAGAGTCCACACACAAGAGTAATGGTATTAATATTATTACTTGTAGGTCTTGAAAAGGAACAGACCGAAGCAAAGCTCCCATAGTAGCTGAGGGCAAATAAGCACAAACCCTAGGTGATGATATTTGCATAAAACCTAGTGGAGCTGACTTGATGTTAGAGCTGATTGAGCTCTGCTATGAATTGCTTGTTTGCTGCTCACATTGTTGCTTTACATAAACCAATTGTTAAAAAATATTAAAGGTCTCAGTCATCATACACACTGTCTTCATTATCCTCTTAGTAAGTAAGGTCTTTGTTATCACTACTATATTGCCCCCTTTCATTATTATCCACATGTTCAGTCTCTACACCAGATGAAGCTATTTGACTAATAGAATCAGGATCTGTAATTAAATATAAACAAAGCAAATAATGTTAAGGGGACTGGAAGACAAACATAATGGGGACCATTTTCGGAAAAAAGTGCTACAAAACTGTACACACAAGCAAAACAATAGTCATTTGAAATGTGTCTGGTTTCTGGTTCATTAAATAGTCACTTAAAATGTGTCTTTCCATCAAATTGATATGAATTAGTATGCCGTAAATGCCTTCAATTTTTGAAGTGACAATATCACTTAGCACAATAGGATTTGAAACCAATACTATGAATAAGGTCCTTCACCAAGAGTGTTTTTAGCGAAACTGTTCATTAATTTCTGGTGTTGCAAACTATGAAACAAAAAAATTTGTTCTACTTGGTTGTAGAAACAATGGTAGTTAGAAATTAATTTTATTGTCTTACTAGCATCATCCTCAAGGTCTATTTTGATCTTGAAAAGTGCATATATGATAGTTGAATATACATAAGCATCGATGATCCATCTAACTTCTTCTGCTTTATTTATAGTCATTGAAGACCAATTCTTCCTTTCTTCAATTTCTAATCAATCAAACAGAATTCAAGAAAAGAAATATAAGGTATGATTTTTTCTGGTTCTATTTGGACCTTCTTGAAATAGACAATTCAAATCTGCACCCATTCAATAAAATTCTCATCCTTGTTTATAGGAATTGTCCTATGTCGCCATTTAAAGAGTCAAAAAGGGTTATTGATTATAGGCTAATAAGTTTCTGTTTCTCATTCCCAGATAACATAATGGGGCATTGTGAAATGAAGTTGTTTTGGGAACTTTCTATTCTCTAACTTGAGTTTGTCAACATATTTGTGCTTGGAACACTAACTTGCAATGATTTTGGTGTTAATATGAACTATATATATATAATCAATATTCCGTAATGCATGGCTATATATTTATATGTACATCATGACGATGAATTTGTTAATGTGTTTTGTTTTGTGGTCCTCAATTGTGTTTTTCTATACACACACAGTGACACTCTAAGTTGTGTTTTTTTTTTTGCATAATTGAATCCAAATTGGGATTTTATTTTTTTTTTAGATCAATGAAAATTAGTGATTAGTTGTTAGTAGCACTTAGACAGCTGAACTCTAACCTTCTCATTGTAAGCACTTTAGTCTTGCCTTCCATTCCACCTCTCAAAGTGAAAGCCAAGACCTCCATTATGAGAAATTTGTTGGTCAAAGGATTAGCCACTTAGGCTACAAACCCTCAGTTAGCCAAACTGAGATTTAAGCAGATATTTCATGTTGTCTGATGTTTGGAGCTAAAAGTCAATAATCCAAAAGCACAAATCAAATGCACTCCAACCCAGGTTTTAGAAATCAATCATGTAAGTTATTTGTGCCTAGTAAACTACAAGCAGAAGCTCTACCAAACAAAAAGTTTCTACTCGGTCAATAACTATATACTCTAAAATAAATAAAAACAACTCGTGTATACATATATAAAAAAAATTAGGATACAAAAAAACTACAGTATTTATAGGTTGTTCTACAGATTTAGAGAAAAGATCATAGAAAAAGAGAATGGTTTCAAAAGGGCTGCTCAACTATGGCATATGATATGATGCATAGTCTGTTTGAAAAAGGAAAAAAAAAAAAGAAAAAAAAAAGCCTTTGCTATGGCCATGATTTTTAGCTGTCCTTGTGTATGTTATACTTGTATAGTCAAAATAGTTAGTTTTTTCATCCTAACTTTTGTATTCAATTCCTAAAGCATGTATTTTCAAATTGTAAGCTACGCTGCAAATAATTGAAAACTAAAAAACTTCAATACAACATGTATTCTATTAAATTTATAGTCAAATATTATTTAATGATTATAGTACTATATACATACTGTCAAATAGGTTAAGTTTAGAGTTTGGAATAAGCTTACAAAATAAAGAAGACAACAAATGAATGTTTCTACTATGGAGAAATCTTGCATACTATTCACTTCCATTATTGAGTATTTTTGTTTATGTGTTGTCCATTCCTACGTTAATCTTTGCTTGATTTGTAGGGTAGAAAAGATGGATAAGAGTTGGATGATTATAAAAGATACGTTGAAAAGTAAAGAGTATCAACAAGGTGTTTAGTCATTTATTGAGAGCTAAGATGGAGGTTCTTCATGAGGAATGCCAAAGAGATCATGAAGAGTTGATGAAGTAGAAAGAAAGAGCGCCAGAGAGATTGGGAAGAGTCGATAAGGGAGAGATAAGAAGATGAAACAAGTGGAAGAAGGAAAAAAAAGCAAGGGAGGCACATCAAGTACACCGGAATCATCTAAACGATGTGGTTTTACAACTTACAACTCTCTTATAGGGTGTAGATGGCCATCCTACTATTTGGTAAGGAGAATTTCATTCATATGATACTAAAAGTTCTACCAAAATAAGATGCTATTGACATTATTGTTTTGAAGAACTGGGAATTGTTCTGACATTATACAAATAAGAGGAGAAAATAAATAACACATGGATAGATCAACTAATTAATTAATCATGGAAAAAATGAAAGGAATAGAGAGAGTATATAATGATTCAAATTTCCCATCTCATCATAAGAATGGAAGTTCGTTAAATGATAAACTTCAAAAAACACATAGGACTTGTGGCAAAACAAGGCATGTAATTAGCAAGTGTAGGAAGAGAGTTAGAGTCGAAAATGCGTTAAACTTATTCCAAAAAGGGTGTTCTGGGGGTTAGAATTCAAAATGGCACTAGAACCACCGTATGGCTATCACGAACAACTTCCTTGTGCCAAATAGGACCTGTGACAACAAAACAGAATGTAATTAGCATGTGTAGATGGGAGTTAGAGCTGAAAACGCCTTAAACTTAGTCAAAAAAATAGCGTTCTGGAGGCGAAGATTCAAAACAGCCCCAAAACCATCATATAGCTATCACGGACAGCTTCCTCATAACAAATAGGACCTGTAACAATAGACAGAATGTATTTACCACCCGTAGGTTGGGAGTTAGATAAGAAAATGTCTTAAAATTAGATGAAAAAGATTGTTCTAGGGGTAAAAATTCAAAACAGCCCTTGAACCACCATATGGATGTCACGGCTAGCTTCCTGTGACAAATAGTACATGTGACACTAAACGAAATGTAATTAGCATCCGTAGGTTGGGAGTTAGCGCCAAAAACACCTTAAACTTAGTCGAAAAATGGCGCTCAATGGGCAAAAATTCAAAACAACCCTCGAACCACTGTATGGCTATCACGGACAGCTTCTCCGTGACAAATAAGACTTGTGACAATAGAATGAATGTAATTAGCATCCGTAGGTTGGGAGTTAGAGCTAAAACCGCCATAAACTTAGTCGAAAAATGGCATTCCGGAGGTGAAAATTCTAAACAAACCCCAAACCATCGTATAGCTATCACAGACAGCTTTCCCTTGACAAATAAGACATGTGAAAACAGATGGAATGTAACTAACACTCGCAGGTTGGGAGTTAGAGCTGAAAATGCCTTAAACTTAGTTGAAAAAGAGCGTTCTGGGGGCAAAAATTCAAAATAGTGCCCTAACCACCATATGGATGTCAGAGATAGCTACCCTTTCAGAAATAAGACCCGTGATAATAGATGGAATGAAATTAGCACTCGTAGGTTAGGAGTTAGTGCCAAAAAAGCCTTAAACTTAGTCGAAAAATGACATTTCGGGGACGAAAATTCAAAACAGTCCCTGAACCAATGTATGGCTATCATGGCTCTCTTGTGACAAATAGGACCTGTGACAATAGATGAAACTTAATTAGCACCCATAGGTTAGGAGTTAGAGCCGAAAACGCCTTAAACTTAGTAAAAAAAATGGCATTCCGAGGGCAAAAATTTCAAAACAGCCCCCGAACTACCATATGGCTATCACAGATAGCTTTTCTGTAACAAATAGGACCTATGACAATAGACGGAATGTAATTAGTATCCATAGGTTGGGAGTTAGTGCCGAAAACGCCTAAAACTTAGTCGAAAAATGGCGTTCTGGGGAAGAAAATTCAAAACAGCCCCTGAACCACTGTATGGCTGTCACGGATAGCTTACCTGTGACAAATAGGACCTGTTACAATAGATGGAATGTAATTATCACCCGTAGGTTCGGAGTTAGAGTTGAAAATGCCTTAAACTTAGTCAAAATATGGCGTTTCGGGGGCAAAAAATTCAAAACAACCTCCGAACCACTGTATGGTTATCACAGACAGCATCCCCATGAAAAATAGGACCTGTGACGATAGACGGAATGTAGTTAGCATTCGTAGGTTAGGAGTTAGAGTCGAAAATGCCATAAACTTAGTTGAAAAATGGCGTTCCGTGGGTGAAAAATCAAAACAGCCCCCGAACCACCGTTTGGCTGTCACGGACAGCTTCTCTGTGACAAATAGAGCCTGTGACAACCGACAGAATGTAATTATCACCCGTAGGTTTGGAGTGAGAGCTGAAAACGTCTTAAACTTAGTCAAAAAATGGAGTTATGGGGGCGAAAATTCAAAACAACCCCTGAACCACTATATGGCTGTCACGGACAACTTCCTTGTGACAAATAGGACTTGTGACAATAGACAGAATGTAATTAGCACCCGTAGGTTGGGAGTTAGAGCCGAAGGTGCCTTAAACTTACTTGAAAAATGGCGTTTCGGTGTCAAAAATTCAAAACAGCCCTGAAACCACCGTATGGCTATCACTGACAACTTTCCCATGACAAATATGACCTGTGATAATAGACGGAATGTAATTAGCGTCTGTAGGTTGGGAGTTAGAGCCAAAAGCGACTTAAACTTAGTTGAAAAATGGCATTTTGGGGGCAAAATTTCCAAAACAGCCCCCAAACCACCGTATGGCTGTCACGAAAAGCTTCCCCATGACAAATAGGACCTGTGACAATAGACAAAATGTAATTAGAAACCATAGGTTGGGAGTTACAGCTGAAAACACCTTAAACTTAGTCCGAAAAGGGCATTCGGCGGCAAAAATTCAAAACAGCCCCTAAACCATCGTATGGCTGTCACATATCGCTTCCCTATGAGAAATAGGATGTGTGACAATAGAAGGAATGTAATTAGTGCGCGTTGGTTGGGTGCTCGCCGCTATATCTTGTAAAGGAACAAGAAGTGTCACAGGACAAATTGATCAAAAATGTGTTCCTGCATGTTTAACTTTTCTAATGTTTCATTATAGAAGTTCACTTCATGATATGATGATTGTCTTTCAAACTCAAACATAACAAATTACATATTGTATGCCTCTAAGGTGCTGACTTTTGTAACCTAGATAATCTTCATATTGGAGCTAGATTATTTCTTTCACAGGTTGGAAGATAAAATAACCAGACTAATTGCCAATTTCAAGGAACCGCATTTAGTATGAAACTTCCTGAACTTGAGGTATCTGCATAAAGAAGTACTACACAAAACATATTATTTTTAGTCATTTCACCCCAAAATAATAAAAAGGAGAGCCTCAAGCATGCTCAGGGCAACTTCACAAATATGAGAGACAATAGGCTCAGGATCCTTTGCAAATTCCTCAAGAAGGGTGACACATTGGTCATCTATGAAAATAACAATATGAAGCTTAGAAAGAGAACCTTAAATTAGTATGACAATGGAAAGCTATAGGTCTGATGTAGTATATGTTTACAACCACTATAATTTAGAACCACAACTAGGGCATGTAGATAAAAGGGAAACCTCACAAACTCTAGTTGTAAAGACTGACAGCTTTATGAAAATAGCATCCACAAATTCTAATAATTGCCTTCGTATATTTATAGGACCAAGAAATTACAGAATAGATTATTTGTGCAGTTGGTTGGAATAAATCTTGCATGATACATATATATGATCTTATTTCCAAAAAGGCATTTATAGATTGTTCCACCTTAAATGCATGTTACAACCTTTTCCCTATGTCTGAATCAATTAATATTTTGGACCTATTGCAATTTTTATTTTTATTTTTATTTTTATTATTATTATTATTTTAATAGATGGCTTTTGGAGTGGACTTGTGGATAATTCATTTTGATGTATGGAGGAGAATTTACACTTTCGTATAAAACTAATACTTTTGTTATCCTTTGCTTTTGTGTAGTTTAGTATTACTGATACAGATAACTTTTGAAAACCAACTAATAATTACTGGCGTGGTACATAAATCACCTTTTGTCATGGTACAGATTACGATGGTAATTTGTATCATGCCAAATGGCCATTTCTCATGGTAGTAAATGTATTTTTGTATACGGAGGGTTGGATTTTGTTTGATTCTATCTTTTGTATGGAATTATTATTTCAGTTTGGACAATTGTTGGTTTGTATGGAGTTTGACATTTAAAGTTATTCATTTTTAGATGGTTGGCAGTAAAATGGATACAGATTGTGGAATGATTGATAGTATGTATATTGTTTTGTTTATATACGTATTACAGGTTGCATGGAATACAAACAGATTGCAAAGAAATTATAATTTTGTGATAAAACATAAGATCATGTTTTTGGCGACTAAACAATTCGTAGTAAAAAAGGAAGTCCATATTTTAGCGACTAAATTGTTAGAGCATCTGTATCACCCTCAGCAAAATTTGAGCCAAATTATGGCCCAGAATCCACTTTTCTATTTTAGCTACCCTTTTTTTTATGTACACACTCCATCAAACTCTTTATTCTAAAATTCTATTTCATTAAAATATTGTTTTTTATTCTTTGGAGTGAAAAATGATGTTAAAACAAGTATAAAATAAGGCCCAAGATAGCAATAGATCAACACCATCGCAACAGCAAAGCAGCAACAACACAGGAGGGTCGAACCCATTGAGGGGCGGTCGACTGGCCGAATAACCAGGCGGTTAACCGGTCAAGCCAAATTTGAGCATTTTCCTTCTTTTGTTATAGGACACTCACGCGACATTCGGGTGGACAACCGACCATGGCTTTTTGGCCCAACTTTGCTCTAGAAAATCTAATAAAAAATAGATTAACCTATGAACAGCGTCTCACTTAATCAGGTGAGGCTGTGTAGCAAAGTCAAAATGAATGGTTGTTATAGAGAGACTGATGGAGCACATATTTACAACTTTTTCTCTCTACAATAGCTTCAAAGCCATTATAGAGAGTTTGATGTGGATGCTCTTAGTAGCCAAAAAAAAATTTGGGAAAACAATTTTGGCGACCAAAAGTTTAGTAGCCAAAAGCAATCAGACATTTGACGACTAAAATATTTCGTAGCCAAAAAACAATCAGACATTTGGCTACTAAAATATTTCGTAACAACAAAAACTTTTGCCGATTACAAATTTAGTAGCGAAAAATGTCAGACTTTAGGCGACCAAACGTTTAGTAGCGAAAA